CAATCTGGAAGACAAAATGAAGCACGCATTGATCAAATTTGTAGAGGCTAGGCTGAAACTACAGAATGATTGATCAAGAGATTTTAGAGCAAGAGGCAAATTTTAAATAGGGTGTGATTTTAATTTAGATAAATTTAAGCAATTCACTAGAGGGTGACACTTTATAAAATGGAAGGCTGCTGATTAGAGCTCATTAACACGAAGAACTAGGAGAGTGGGTAACAAATGGGGCCCAAATCCTAATGCCATGAAGCTTTAAAAAGATAAATAGCTTTCCTGGCTGTGCAGAGAGTAAAAGGTAGGTCATTTGTAGGACAGTGACTACAAGAATATCTATTCTGTATTTCTAGTGTGGCAATATGGGTATAAAACTTCAGCCTGTTATCCATGGGAAATTAACTCCTTGATTCTGACCTCAAGGTTGGCTATTAAAGGAATTAAGTGTCTGAAAGCAGTGCTGGGCTGATAGATCTGTGTACATGGTCTCTGAGAGGCATGTGAGCACAGTGTGTTCCACTCTTGGCCATGTGGCACCTGATCATACACCCTACTTATGATCCATTGGCTTCTGATGCATTCCGTTACTTGGCACAATGCAATGAGAGGAAACTGCTTTGGTCAAGGAAATGCAGCAGGACATAAATGTAGAAGTCTCAGCCCCTGTCTACCATTTTATCAACTTGTTCCTTCCTGTTTGTGCAAAACTGAATTTTTGACATTATCTTCTGACTAGGCAGGGTAAATCAGTTGAACACAAAGAGCATATCCAAGGAAAGAAGTTTTGAGAAACAGGTGCTGGGGGGGTTTGAGCTTTTTTTACAGCTCAGCTCTCTCTTTTCTTAGAGTGACACCATGTAGTTGAAGCCCTGGTACAGCAGAAGTACCATTGCAGCCAGTTGTTCCTCACGACTTTTTATTCTTGGGAAATAAGGAGGAAAAGGTGGGAGCAAACTGCTTCATGCATACTTGGGAGAGTTAGAAAAATGTCTGAAAATACTTCAGCATCTAGGAGGAATTATAGACCAGTTATCTGGTCCAACAGTTTCAAGTAAGCCATTGACAACCAGACTTGTAGTATATGTAGTTATTTGATGCCTGTGTGAATGCCTCTTACACAAGAGTGCTGTATTATGCTTGAGAAGCATTCTGGTAACTCAGGCAAATTTTCTTGCAATAAAATGAAATAATATTTTTTTGGTGTTGCACCAGCAATGAATCTATATATTTTGGAATCAGTTTACTAGTGACATTTCTTTAATTGTATTTTCTTTCTTTAAAAAGCACTTACTTTTACACAGAATTAATGATGGCATTTGCATATCCTTAGAGGTTTTTTTATAGTAATAGCTTATAATTGCACAGAATCATAGAACAGCTGAGATTGGAAGGGACTCCTTGGAGATGGTGTAGTATAATAACATGCTCAAAGCAAAGTCAGAAAGAGCAGACTGCTCTGGACTGATTGCAAGGCTTTGAACTCATCTAAAGTTGAAGACTCCTACAACCTTTCTAGCAGCATGTTTCAATGCTTCTTACTGTAACAGTGGTTTAATAAACAAATAATTATATTTAGATGGAACTTACTGCATTTCAGTTTCTGCCCATTTTGTCTGGTCCTTTCACAGGGCACTGAGAAGTCAAGCTCCTCCTCCTTCATTTCAGCCTCTCAGGTATTTATGTATATTAAGAAGATCACCCTGAGCCTGCCTTTCTCCAGACTAAACAGTCCCAGCTCTTGGTTTCTCCTCCCATAATAGATATTCCAGTCCCTTAATTATCCTCATGGCTCTCTTCTGGACATGCTCCAGTATAATAATGTCTTTTTTGGACTCGGGAGACTATTACTGGACATGGAATTAAAACTGAAGCATTAAAGTCCTAGAAAAATCTAGATTAGTAATGCATATCAAAAATAGAGTTTGCATAAAAAAAAAAAAAAAAGGAAGCGGTTAAAGTTTTAGCTAGAACTGAACTAATAAATCCTACTCAAAAATACAGAAAATTAGATTAGTTGAAAATGTTAGACTAACATCTCTGTGTTATTTATCAAAGCAATGAGGTGGGGGGAGATGGGAGAAGAAGCAAATACTTATTCTGACAGTACACAAAGCCAACATGCAATACTTCCTTTATACATATAGGATATGCTTCAAGGAACCAAATGCCATGGCTTCCTTGGGATAGAGAACGTTTGCAATGAAAGGCTTTAGAAGGCAAAGGTTGAGATACCAAGATGGTCAGAGAAGACAATTAAACAGCTCACAATGAGAAAGAATTATCTGCTGCTGCCTGTCCTGCTGCCAGCAGCTTGCACTGAGTAGTAGGACAAAGTCTGTGTTTGTTCACCAGCTCCTTAAATGTGTTTTTCAGGGTGGGGGCATTGTGTATATAAGTAGTACCTACATCCATAGAGTTACACACATATACCTATGCAGATGCATACATATCTGTGTTTTGGTGCAGGTTTTGTTTACTCAATGAAAAGAGAATTATTTGCTATTATTACAAAGGATCTAGATGCTGTTTATAGATTTTAGCTGCTAGTGATATATTTTGTTACTGTCATTAGAGAAGCTTATAATACAGGGCAGGGTTGTCTTAAGTGCTGTATGGGAGATGCTCACTTCACCTTGACTAATACCACAAGAATTAATTGAACAAATAGGTTAGTGCTATTCTTGTTGATACTGGATAGCTGCCAGGCCAGAGCTGAGAAGGTTAGTCTCTGTTGTTTGCTGTTTTCTGAATATATAATAGATCATTATTTTAGTATAAATTTGATTAATTCCTAGTCAGAGTCAAAATGTTTAAATTTCTTCCATTTTCTTTTAAACATATCATGGCATGAGAAGTGAGGGAATTTCTTTAGTAAAAACACAGGGCACAACAAGAAACCGTTCTTTCAGGTGTCAGAATATGTTTGGAAATTTTGTCACGTTATTTTACACCAGAGAAAGGAGACTTTTCCACTAAACCCTTAAACTAAAACATTCTGACAGCTGATACTGTTTGTTGAAAGCGTGTCTTTGCTTTTCTTGGCTTGTTACTGCTTTTCTTAAACAGGGTGGAGGGAGGAATAACATTTGTGATATGTACCCATTGACTTACTCTTGACAGTGCAAATATTTCCTTGTTAAGAAATCTTTCTGTTTCAATAAAGACTTTAGGTGCTAATCAAGGAAATTCAGAATTCTGATATTTGCCAAGGTATGGCTCAATCAGGTGATGTTGTCCTACATTTCTGAGGTTCCATCCATCTGGATTATTGCAGATGTCTCCTTTTGTACTCCCTAAGCACCCTTATGCAGCACAGAAGGGATAAGTGTACAAGCACCTGCTGAGACAGTGTTGTTAGGCCAATCTGAAACAAGCCTATGATGCTCCATTCCTCTGAAAGAGCTTGGTCATGCACTTCAGAACTTTGCAAAGACACAGCTTCAGCATGGTATAATTTTGCAGGGAATGGCATAAACATAACATTGTGATTTTAGGTAAAAGTCTGAGGTTATACAAAACAAATATGTCCTAGATTATGTAATTTTCTAGGAACCACTACAGCAAAGTGGAGCTCCCTGTGTTTTTCCCTGCTTGACTCTTTTATGCCTGTGGCTTGTGTTTTTGCTTTTATTATTCTTGTCCTTCTGCTTGTTGGGGATCCTGGCTTTACCGAGCAATTAAAATTCCCATGCTACGATGTGTCACTGATCTTTGTAACAGTCTCCTGGCTTCACAGTAACGAGCGTGCTTGGCAATTTACAGTGCTGACAACTCCAGTTTTCTTCCTCTGCTGTTCAGGTGGCCAGAGTCACACAAGTGCCAACAAATTTTATAAAGCACAGGAACAGTGATTCTGACTCAGCAGGGCTTTGTACCAAAGTGAGAACAGGAGAGGTATTGTGCCGAGAGCCCAAAATTGGCTGGCATCTCTGGATAGGAAGTGAAACAGGAAGATCACCTTGTAAACAGGCTTGGTGCCATCCAAACAGATGGGCTGAAGTATAAGCAGCCAAACAGTCATTTAGGAACACAAAAAGGATTTGTTCAAGGCACATTTCCAAGCATGAAATGTCAGAATGTTTGCCTGTGTCAAGCATCAAACCTGAAGGGAGGGATATGTGCAAGTAGTGTGGGATGAGTTAACACTGAAAACAAACATGTAAATCTGTCTTGGATTATTTCCTGAATCCATTGAAAGATTTTTTTTGTAGCTGTGAGACCTAAAATGGAGGAGTGGGAGAAGAGTCCTGCAAAGCAATATTATTCCCTACAATATGGATTACTTTCCACAAACTATGCTGACAAAGTAAAGAAATTATTTCTTTTGCACTCCCACAAATGTTGATGTGCAGGAGGGACCTAACATTCTCTGGCTGGTTAGTCTTTAGCAGCTGTATTTAATAGCTTCAGGATAAATTCTGTAGCACTAGCCAAAATCTAAAGTATAGAATCACAGAATGGCCTGGGTAGGGAATGATCTTAAAACAATATATTATACACAGAGACCTAGGAAAGCCTTAACCTAGGAGTTGTAGTGAGGACTGAATTGCTTTACTGTAATAGGAACCCAGCTCTGTGACTTCTCTGCATAAAAGGTCAACAACAACAAAAGAGAGGGAGACATCCACCCAAACTTCCATAACGCTGAAAATCGAGAATTTAGGATGATAATTGATGGAAATGTGCTTTGTTGCTTTTCTATCCACTACAAAAGCCAGACAAATACTTGTCTGCTGATCAAAAGTGCAAAATAGAGAAGGGGTCATAAAGACATATACAATGACTTGAGAACAAATCAGTTTGCAGGTAAGATTCAAGGCAAAGCTCCTAGTTGCAAGATGAGCTTTATCTGAACTTTCACTGTTATGCTCTATAACTGGTGCCTTGCAGTTCCAGTTTAGGAAGCAGGGAATGAACGAAAGCATTAATCTGACTGAAATCCACATAACAGGATTGTGTGTGAAACAAAAGTGAAACCAGACAGTCGGTGAAATACAGCTTGAGGAGGAGGGGTGAATGTGCTGGAAGCAGCAGTTTTCTAACCTCTTTACTGTAGCTGAACAAGCTTTAAGAGGCATCAAGCATTAGGGGGGCTAGGAAAAACCAGGAGCTAGTTACTGTTAATTGATTTTTGCAGCAGAATGTTCTTACCAGAAGTAGAGCTATTTGAGCAGGCTTCCAGGGAAATGATTTGCATTTGGTAGAACTGCCCCTCAGTTCTTGCAGCTCACACTGCCCTTGTGGCACTTTAACACTAGTCACTTGTTGGAGGCTGTGCATTTGATGTTTTGATTTTCACCAGTTGCTCGGCAGAAAAGGATTGTGCAACAGTCGAGGACTAGGAGGCTTTGGGAAGAGGCGGAAAACATGCATTCAGACCTCCAAACAGGGAAGCAGTAAGAGAAATTGCCTAAATTATGGATAATCTGCTGCATAAGTCTGTCTTCTCCTGTTTTATAAAGCTTCCTATCCATGCAGTTTGGAAACTTATATCGACAGTGAAAGCCACGAGGATTCAAGAAAAGGTAAAAGCAAATTAAAAAAAGAACTACTTCAGTTGTAACCCTGGGAGTGATCTAACCATATCTTAAAGGGGAGGATCACAAGTTTAGCTGCACTGCTCTCTAAATGTCAGTATCTGTGAGTAATGGTTCTATTTAGGATTTTATGAGAGCACTGTGAATTTGAAAAAAATTTGCTCTGAGAATAAATAATTTGTGAATCTGAGGAAGTTACTGGAGACTTAAAGCACTGAGACCATGAAGCTTTAAGTAGTCATTACCTGCCTCTTTAAGATCACAGAAGCCCATCTTTCACTGCTGTCATGAGCTGTTTTCAGTGTAATTCCAGTTCATTTTGAACCACTCATCTCCATACCAGCTGTGTAAAAAAAAATTGTTAGACTTCCTTATATTCAGCATAGTCTTGAATCTGCTTGTTAGGATAAGGGGGGTATATTTGACAGAATTAATTTCTAAATAGGTATATAAAATAGATTAAAAAATAAACCAGACTTTCCCTCTTTTATCTCTTCTCTTAGCCAAAAGCTTTATGCTGTGCTGTTCTCTGTTCTGTAAAGGCTTTATCTTTTCTAAGATATTTATATTCTTCTAAGATCAGGTGTAGGCACTGGTCAGTATTTGGGCCCTTTGTCATGTAAATCTGTGTTAAATAAAAGGTTGCAGTCTTGGCACTAGGGCTTGTAACCTGAATTCTTAAATGTTTTGGTAGATCATGATTTCTTAGCTTAAATGCAACATGAATATCCTTAGGAAAACTGAACTGTAATCTGAAGCAGTTGCTGTTTCACAAGGAAATGGAAGCTGTTTAGCATGGGTGGGGAGAGAAAGGGTGAGTCTGGAATGAGGCCATCTCTGATGAGTTACTATTCCTTTTCATCCAATATGGGTATTAAACTGTGTGATGAGCATTCAGAAGAATAAGAGCTATAACAAGAACTGAAATTCTGCATTCCTTTGAAACAGTTAAACTTCTTTGTTTTCTGTGTGCTAAATTATGCTGAATAGCTTACTTCTCCAAATCAGAGATCATCAGGCAAAGAAAGACACATTCCTTTGCCATGATATATTTTGGAAATAAAAAGTACCAGGGCTGTAACTGGCAGGGGGTGGGTGGGAGGGAAATCTTCTTTTCCTGTTTTGGTACAGTAATGTTTATTATTTTCTTTCTTGCTCCTAATGTTTTTACAATGGCTAACAGCTCAAGCACTACATGCTTAAAGAAACATGTTCATTCTCCTTGGGTTTGTCAGATGTTGGCAGGGCTGATACTCACCACATAGTAACACTTACTGCTTTGACTCTACAAACACAGAGTGCAGTTTTGCTCTGGAAGCTGCGCTGCATGGTGTTGAAAATAAGATCTTTATTTCTGAGGATCACATTCTTTTATTTAGCAGGGTAAGTCCTTGGGATGGTTTGCTAACACTGACTGAATGTCTTGTAATAAATGTTATCAGTAGATAAATGCATTTTTCTTTGAGGGTTTTTGTTATTTTCTCACTAGTCACCCTTTTCTGATCTCAGTGGGCATTAAATTTAGGTTCCAGAGAGCTTAGGACATTCTAACAGTGCTATTGTCATGTTCTGTTCTGATAGATTTTGTCTGATGAACATAATCATCTCTATGTCATAATCATGACTGGACTCTTGTCCAGTCATAGATGCAAAAATAACAAGCAAAGGATGCATGCAGGGCTAGTTGGCTAATAATTTTTGAATTGTTCAAGATTTATTCTGACAGCTGAACTTCAGAGGATGCCCAAGCCAGCTGTAACTTAAACATTCATTGGTGGAACTGAATGAGAGAATTAGAGATTTAATTAGAGAGCAACCTGTAACTTGATGCTAAATTTAATCATTCCGCCTGCATAAGTATGTGAATATCCTTAGTGCAATATGCTTCTGTCACTGCTGCTTCCACTGCTGGAAGAAATCCATTTAATCAAAACAAGCATTGATGTGGTTATTAGCAAGTTAGTCCCAAGACAAAAAGCTTTATCAATTTAAAATGAACTGAATGTGGTGCTACTATTCATTCTCTTTACATTGCTTGATACTGTGCACTGAATGTAATGAGGCTTGTTGAAGAACTGCTGTTCACTGTGATGTACCAGAAAAGCTATGCATCCTAGGAGACTTGTTTTCTGATCAAACATTTTAAATGAAATACAACATTAAAATAAGTGTAATGGCTACAATCTGAGGTTAGCTTTGCATGCTCACTTTAATGAGTTGCAATTTCCTCTGGAAACTGACAACTAAAAAATCCTGTTTACCAGTTGCTTAGAAACTGATCATCAGTAAGAGCATTAGACATCAAATATCTCAGTAAAAACTAAAGCTGGGAAATAAAAGTGTATTGTTCAGAAACTATAGATTCTGGAAATTACCACAGATTTTCATGAACCCCAAGACATAAAGAGATTATAAGAAGGACATGCATATAGATAAGAACATCCAGACTTATACTAAGAAGGATAAGTGCTCACTTCAGTTCTTAAACCATACAATATGGTTTAAGAAGACTATTTCAATACTGGCAGTGTATTAAATGTTTATTTTCTTGGATAACCTTCTGGAATCATTCCTGACTGAACACACAAGGCCCAGGAGCATGGACTTCAGGGAATATGAGTATGATCCAATAATGGAATTATTTATGATCTTTGAGATTTTTCTCTTATTTTAAATTCAAACTTGAATGTTTTAAAGCAAAGAAATCTGAAAGCTTTTTAACAAGCCATATAGAAATGGAATGTAAATGTGTTTTGTGGCTACATGATTAACAACACAGTTGAGTTTAGGAGGTAATTCTGGCTAAATGAGGTTTTTATATAGACCTCTATAGCTTTTTCTTAGGAGAATATATATATTTTTAAAAGAGAAATTCTTATCTAATTCTATACATTAAATTTTCCCATTAAAATGATTATGATTAAGTTCTTGGAAGGTATGAGGTTTTTAATATTAATTCAGTCTGAGTAAGGAAATGAAATGTGACATTATTTTCTTGTCAAACATAAAAGGCCTATTATTTCAACATGTTTAAGCGGCCTCTCTGCTTAGATAAAAAACAATAGAAGGCATGTATGTGGCTTATTTAACGGTGCTTATGCTGGCAGGATTATCTCCTTTCCTTGAAAACATTTTTCAATTCATTCGGCAAAACAAGAAATTATTTTCTTTTGCCTTTGTTGCTAGTTAGAGTATATCTCATTAACATTTGAGGAAATTATTTTTCATGAGTATTGTAAGGTTACCTCTTTCCAAAACATGGCCATAAAGCTTAGACTTCCTGTTGAAAATTCCAGCTGGACTCAGATAAAATCTTTTCCTGGAAGAAACTACAGGATGCTTTTTTCATTCACAATCAGTTTCCAAAGAGTGTGTGACCAATGCTAAAGGAAATGGAAGAACCAACATTTTGTGCAGAGAAACCACCATCTTTCCTCCTGAATCTCAGCAGTAAACAGATATTTCTTACATCTTTTCCAGCCAATGCTTCTTTAGAATTATTTCTGAGCTACACACCAGCCACAAGATGAATGCTAAAGTAATTTCTCTAGCTATTAGTTAATGCATAAGAGTGATACCATCAATGAGGTTCTATACAGGAGGATTAACAGATAGGGCTTTGTCCTTTAGGGAGCCTACCAAATGAGTTTTGGGAGCTCAGAACTGAGGCAGCACGGAGTGATTTCTACATTGTGCTTGGCACAGGGAGTATGTTTCTTTAACAATTAACACAACTGCTCTTGTAGAGCCCTTCTTAGCCTGTTTTCTGAAGGAAATGAGCTGTATCTGCCCCTTTCCCCCAGTAACTGTGGAACTCATGGATAGAGAGTCTCAAAGACATGAAACACCCACACGCTTAATGAAAATGATGCTGGTTGGTAAGAGGGGAGGCATCCTATTAAAACTGCCTTTAAGAGCAGCATTACACCAAAGTGATCACGCAGGGGAGAATAATCAGCAGTACTTTGTGTACTGGGAAAGCTCCCATCACTGTTTGCACCTCTCAAGTATTCAAAAGAAAAATTTCCAAAGCCTAACCTGGACAGGGTAACTGAGAACATCCTTGACTCCTATCCCTGGTAGTGGTTGATTGCTGCAGCTCAATCAGTTTATAAGTCAGCCAACCAGAGGAAACCAGACTGCTGAAATCCAGGAAGGACATTCCCCTAGTAATGAGAGAGCTATTGCCATTAAAACATATTTGTCTTTCTCAAGTTTGCCAATCAAATTAACTTAAAAAGCAGTGACTGAATTGAGAGTAGAGTTGGATAATAGCATCTATGGTGAGTGGCATTAAGCTCTCTTTCCTTCAAATCTCTGTTGGGCAGGATTTGTAGGTCCTTCTAAGGTCTGAGTAGGAACAGGATACAGAGCCTCTTGTGAGGATGTTCTCCTAACAGAGCTTATCAGATGCTTGCTTGTTTACTGCATTGTTATTTTGCCTTATCTTTAGTTTTCTCAAAAAATGTCAACTCTGTTCAAATCAAGGTCTTATCTCAAAGTAACTGAGGATTTAACACAATCTTTGAGGAAATCAGTGCTCACAAAGGATGGGTCTTTAACCAAGAAGAAAAAAGCTCACAGCCTACATGCAAATAGGATATAAGTTTTCATTCTGTATTTACATCTGGAATAATTTATCCATGGTCAGTTCATACTCTGAAATTGTTGTTAGAAATGCTTATAAAAGACTTTAAACAGATGAAATAGAGGTTATAGTCCTTGTGCATAGTTTACAGGTGGAAGTTCTCTGTTACATATGCAGTCAGACTGAAATAAATAATTCCTTACAGCTTTAAAATCTGCATTAGTTGTGTCAAATTGGCACTGTTCAACTTTGCCTGTAAATGTAATTGTTGTATGCCAAGCAACATTAGTGTAACTGAATCTGACATGTTTGACACAAAATTCCTGAAATTACAGGACTACAGGCATTTTAAAGTACGTGTTTCATGTGACAGTCTAAGACTTTTGCAAGAATCATCTCT